TTCACACGCTACCTGAGCAATGTTGTCATTACCTTGTATCCAATCTCCATTTTCATTGGCAACTTTGTGAATAAATAACTTCCTTCTTCTTCCCCTTATCACTGAATGGAAGTATTTATAATTAGTATCACCCTCTTTAACCCATTGGAGTTGGGTTTTCTGTTGTAAAATAGTGTCTTCCAACTTGAGAAACTTGTTGTACTTTGCATTATTTTCATGAAGGATGTTTCTATTTGAGTCACTTTGGTTAGTGATGTAGTTTTCTTTAACTTTATGCGCTTGTTCCTCATACATCCTAACCTTTTGGAAAATAGCACCATATTCTTTCTTAGACCAAACACTAAGAGTATTTGATAGCCTTTTCATTTTTTGGTAAATCTCCACATACCAGTACCTGCTACTTACTTCTCCTAACAGGTTTTCACAGCTTCCATGAAACGAGGGTTGTCCACCTAACAATTGAGAAATCTGAAGTACTTGGTGTGATCAGTTGTTGTGGAAACCATTTCCATTAGAAGAGGACAATGATCAGACCCAGAAGATGACAAGTGAGTTATAGCTGTTTGAGGCATCTTTTACAACCATGAATCATTAACCATAGCCCTGTCAAGTCTCTTCCAAATTCTGGGATTAATACGCTCTTGTTGGACCAAGTGAATTTCTAACCACTAAAACCAATGTCCAAAAGGCCACAGGCTTCAATGTCAGCTATAATATCCATACTTTTCCTCATGTTATAAGGATCCCCTCCAAGTTTTTCCTCCATGCAAGTTAATACATTAAAATCACCAACAGTACACCAAGGGTTATCATTCAAGGTATCATGGTGAATCATTTTGTCCCAAAGAGGTCTCATGAGGTGATCTTTGCATTTAGCATAAGCAAAAGTACTAGTAAATTGATATTGTAATTCATTGTGTTTAATTTTGCAAGTCATTGATTGTTCATCTTCATCAAGAATACAACAGTCAATATCTACTCTAAACAAACCAAATTTTACCATTACAATTACTAGTAGCATTTTCCATGTGTAATCGGACCTTAAAGCTTTGAACATGAACACTATCAAATAATGGTTTCAAAATAGTGATAACAGATAATGGTGAAGCTCTCTGAGCATCATGAGTCTCTCCAACACCCTTTGAGTGTTAATCCCTCTCACATTCCATATTATTGTACTAATCATTGGGAAGATCTTGAAGAAAAGAGCCTAGTGTTTGGTCTGCCATCAGTGACAATGTTGACATCTTGTTTCTTGAATTAGAGTTTGTCAAGTTGTAACCCTATTGAGGATAGGCACTGACATTGTGTTACATTTTGAATCTCGTCCTCTAGGGCCTGATCATTATGAGGACTAAAGGACTTAATAAGAACCTCAATAGTCTCATCATCCTCATCAGGATCATCTAGAGAGTGGTTGTCCTTATCTAGCTCATCCTGAGAAATATCCACTACATACTCATCAAAAATAGGTGTTGTATTAATCTTGCACCCTTGTTGTCTCTTATCAGGAGGTTCAGTTGATGGAGGAGTCATATACTGAGCCTGTAGGTGAAGAATCTCTATTCCTTGATTGTCATTGACCATAATAATTTTTTTGCAAGGCTCTTCTTCCATTTCGTGTTCCAATTCACTGTCATTCTCTTGTTATTTGCTTTGTCTCCTTTTAGCATGATCTCTTTTCCTGTTTATTAGGCTTGTCTTTTCTCTTTGGCATGCTTCCCAGAGTGCAAGTATCAATCTGTTTCCCTTTTATTTTTATTTTCCTCCTTTTTCAAGTTGCGGTTTTTCTTTGTTTTTTCCCTGACTGATATCTCTGTTCAGAACCTGCTGTTGATTCGGTTGATGTTCCTTTTGTTGTTGCCTTTTTTTAGACCTATTAGGGGCTCTAAGGTCTGAGCTATGGTCTATATCCAACAACTTCATCAGTTGAACCAGCATCAACATCAATAATATTTGGGGAATTGGGATTTGGGAGGATTGAGTCAATACTTGAGTTATTATTGGCTGCATCAACCTGCTACCTTGGTTAATTGTGTGTATTGAGTCTTGTTGTTATAGTTGAGCTCTTATTGTACTCATTTTTTGTTTTGTCTACTTCCCTTGTTTGGTCTGTTTCATGTTGGTCCTGCATTTCAAGATTAGCAAAAACATTTTGAATTTCAAAACTAGTTATACTAGTTGATGACTGTGTTTGTCGATGGCTCTCATTGCTTCCTTGCATTTGAGTTAAGACAGGTCTCCAAACTGTTTTGGAGGTGGTTTGATCTTGGTTTTGCTGTCTTTTTTGTGTGTATGCCATTGTTCCTCCTAAAATTTTGCTTGTTGATCTTGCTCCATCTGATTGTAGGTGTTATTTCCTTGCTGCTGTCGTATAATTTGCTTCTTTGGTTGAATTTGGTTTCCTTCCTATCTTGGTTTACCCCCTTTGATTTATGCCCAGCTGGTTTTGTGCCTTTGTTATAGTCTGATTTATGGTTTTTTCATGTTCTTGTGAATTTTTTTTGTACGCCTTGTTCTTTACTCTTTTTTCCAGATTCCAGCTCTTACTTTAATTGAACTCATCGTCCCTCCTCTTGACTATACATTCCTTTACCATATGGCCTTGATGTTTAAAGTACAAGCAATAAATTGGAATCCCTTCATACTAAACCTTTAAGCATCTTCATTTGTAAGGATCCGAATTTTTGAATCCTAGCCATACATGAGTACGTCTTGCTTTGGTAAGATCAAATTGGACTTTTACTCTAGTGGTGGTACCTCTAGTCCTTTGAGAGGTTGGTGAATCAAGGACTAACACCTTTCCAATACATTCAAAAATAGTCGTCAACAAAACTTTATTGTAACAGTACCAAGGTACGCCAGGAGTAGCTACCCAAATAGGAACAATATGAATTTCCTCTTCCAGGGTGAAATAAGGGGTCCAAGCTTGTATTCTCATCAATTGCCCTTCAATATTCATTCTAGGTTGTGTCCAAAAAGTTTGCTAATCAAACTCATTTTCGAGATCAATATAAACATGCCTAGAGTTAAAGTGTGTGATCTTCACACTCCCCGTAAGCTGAGTTTTGAGGGTGAAGATTTTCCTAACCAGCTCCATTTTTGGAATCGTAATCGTAAACTTGGGCACAAGTGTGTACATACGAACCTCCACAAATTTCACATAATAATCATTTTCATTCAGAAACACAGTAGGAAATCCTTGTCTAGTGGTATGAATAGGATCATTCAAAACAATCAGAATTTCATGTTTTGACTGATTGTATCTTAATCTAGTAACAAAAGATTGCACAACAGTATGGGGAGAAATTTCTGAATTTTTTCAATGTTTCGCATTATTGTTAGAATTTTGACCCTGTCGATGGTTAGTAGGATTCCTAGCAGCTGCCTGAAGAACATCATTGCCCTATTTATTACTTCTATTAGATTGAGAGTTAGGTTCATACCTCAGAACTACTTTGATCATTTCCAGTCAGGTGTATTTCCTTGTCTGAGTGCTCAAGTGTTTGACTTGAGTGTTCTTCCCTTTGTATTTGTAAACTTCCATACTCCATAACTTTTTCATGTTGGTTGATTGTCTTATGTGAATTACCTTTATTAAACATAGGAGTTTGGTAAGATTAATTACCTTCTATGCCAGATGAAAAGTTTGAAGATTGTGTTTCATTTTATGAGGTTGCTATGTGCATCCTCATCGAATTCCTGTTAGTTCCCTGTTGTTTGATCAAATTTCCCCCATGCTGAGTTTCTTTTCCTTCTCCCATTGATTTTGCTTCGATTGAATGAGAAACCCCAACATTGGTTTTTTGTCCAGAACCAGACGCGAATTTCTCCCCTTTACTTCCTCATTTTTCCTGTTGTACTTTAGAATTAGGATCAGTGGAAGAAGATAGATTGTTGTTAGAATTGATTTCTCCCTTGTGTTTGTTGAAAATGTCAGTAAGATGTATGTTCTTCGCCTAAGAATCAGTCTCTTTCAATGAGTTTCCATGGATTCAAACATTTCGAGTTCTATCTTCACCAGAGTTCTCCCCGTCGATTATTTCACTGTCCATTTCACTCAACATTTGAGTGACATGGACATCATTGTTGGGAGAACAAACCCCTGTGGTCGAATCCATACGAATATGACTTGAAGTTGGTTGAATTTGAATACGCAGCTCAGATTGCGCACTCGCAACTTCGTCAAATTTTTCCTCTCGATTCTATTAATTGGGACGATAGAAATGGCTTATTTTTGGATATGTGGTAGATATTAATGTGGTGTATTCATTTCCATTATCCTTTCTTCAGGATTCCACCCAGAAATTCCTTGGGAAATATTTTCTCGATCTTCATCAAACTCCCCTTCCAAAAATACATTATTCATCGCATCATTGACCTGCGATTTCAAGGCGTTCTGAGACTGATCATGGAGTGTATTATCCAGGGGTAAAATGCCATCTCCATAGTGCTCTTTTGGACTTTAGTCCGACGTCCATTTAACTCCTACCGGTGGCCCACATGCCATTGCGCGCTGGACATACCTGAATTTCCTTTAGCTGTTGTGAGAGAGAAGAGAGATTGTTTGTTAGGAGAGAAAATTCTACAAAGTGAAAAAAAAATCAAGAAACTGAGGCGCGATGTATTTCAGGTTTTTTTTTTAGTTGAACGACCCTTGAAGTGGGTCAGGGGCTTAGCATCACCCCCAGGCCTTACCATTTATTAAGAAAAATGTACAAGAAGGGAGGCATTTTACCTTACCTTCCACAAATTTGGTAGGATGTAATTGACTTATCTACTAATATAGTCAATTCATCCTTATACAACATGATGCACTTCTATAGAAATACCTAGAGAGGACTCCTCTCTTAATACATATTCTAAGAAAGCATAAACTAGGGAGACTCTCCCTTTACATGGATAATGAAAGAGTAAATCTATTCTACTAACTAAAAACTAGTTAATGAATAAATTTAGTGTCAATTGTAATGTTATACATTTACTAACTTATAATATATCTAAGGTGGATGTTTTATTCTCTTGAGCTTCCTTCTTCTAAAGTTTTGTGTGTTCATCTTCTCCAATAGATAGTTTCCTTTAATTGCCCCTTCAAGTTGTCTTGTTGTGTAGATGTGTTGAACTAATTCCAGACTGTGACTCCATTTGGATAGCAAGTCTGCAGTGATGTTTGCTTCCCTGTATATGTGATGACACTGAAAGTGTTCCATTTTCCTAATTATGTGCTGGATTTGTTGGACAAGATCTTCATATCTCCATGGAATTCGTATTTTGTTTTTGATCCAGTTGTACAGCAGTTCTGAATCAACTTCCAATTCCACTCTTTTGTATCCATGTTTCTCACACCACTCCAGCCCATATAGAGCAGCTTTTATCTCTGCAATATTGTTAGTTCCAAAACCAAAAGGTAGAGAAAAAGCATAAACTATTTTACCTTGATGATCCCTTAAAATACCACCACCTCCAATCTTGCCTGAGTTCTGTATAGCACTCCCATGTGTATTAAGTTTGTGAGTGCCTAAAACTGGTTTATTCCATCTCACCAACACTATGTTATATTGCTGTTTGCAGTGCTCGACTATGTTAATTAGCTTGCTCCAACTAGACTGCCATGGTATACTTGGAAACACAAGTTTGATAACCTGCATTACATCCTTAAATATGCCATGTTGTACTCTATATATGTTGGAGCTCTTCTTTCCATACTTGACAGCACACTTGTTCTTCCATAAATGCCAACAAATTAGATTAGGTAAAATTTGAATAAGTAGTTTCTGTAGCTCATTGTTAGATTGCTGATCCTTCCATTTCAATAGTTGGGCTCTAAGAGTAGTGTTGACTGGCACAATTCCAAGTGTTGCAGCATGGGTTTTCCATATATGTTTAGCAAAGTTGCCATTAATCAAAATGTGATTAATGTCATCTTTGTCGTTAATATAACAACAATAACACTCAGAGATAGCTTTACCAAATTTCTGCAAAAGTTCATTAGTAGGCAATTTACCTTTTAAAGCTCTCCAAATGAAGAAGGCTATTTTAAAAGGTAATTGTTTATGCCAAATAATTGTATTAATAATGTCAAAATTTCTTTTCTTTCTAATACACTCCCATGCAGTAGCTATAGTAAATTTGCCAGTTTCAGATGGAGTCCATATTGCAGTGTCTTCTTTTCCTGCAGTATACTTGAAGTTTGTCTGCAAAATCTTAGGTATCATCAAAGGTGTCACCTGTTGTCTAATAAGCCTTTCATTCCACTTACCATCCTTTATGAAATCAGCAACCACACTATTATTTAAACTAGATATTTGATCACTTTGACTGGCAATAGTTTCAGTATCCAACCAATTATCCCACCAAAAGCTACTAGTACCAGAATGTATTTACCATTTAATAAGAGATTCCACCTTAAGCCTATTTCTAGTTAAGTATCTCCAAACCAAGGAATCTCCAGAATCATACTTTTTAGCCACAGGATTGGCACTTTGACAGTATTTGGCTTTTAAAAACTGACTCCATAAGCATTTTTTAGTTCTAAAATCCCACCACTGCTTATATTGAAAAGCTGTACAAATATCATCAAGTAATCTCACTCCAATACCCCCTTCATTTGTTGGATATGCCATGTTTTCTCATGAAGACCAGTGATATTTCTTACCATCTCTATCACTACCCCAAAAGAAATCAGCAATGAGCTTTTGAATACAATTTAAGGTAGTTTTGGGAGGTGAAATAGCAGCAAGAGTATGGATTGGTATAGATTGCAAAAACATGTTTTACCAAAGTAATTTTACCTCCATAATTTAAAATTTTGGAATGCCAACCTGCAATTCTTTTGATTACCTTTTCAACCACCTCAGAGTAATAGATAATCCTTTGCCCTCCTATATATAATGGACACCCAAGATAATTGATAGGACTGTTCTTCCTATTAAAACCAATAGCCATCTTAATCTCCTCTATAATGTCATGACCTGTGTTAGATGATACCATAAAGAAACTTTTTTCTTTATTAACCTTTTGATCTGAAACATCTTCATATACTTCAATAGTTTTCATAATAAGATGAAGGGAATTACTATCAGTAGAAGCAAATATAATTATATCATCAGCAAAACTAAGATGATTAATTTTTGGACCTTTCCTTTCCATCTGTAACCCTTTATATTGATTATTTTGATAGAGAAGATTTAGATGTCTTGACAGTACTTCAGCACCAAGAATAAATAATGCAGGAGACAGGGGATCACCCTGTTTAAGACCTCTCTTTGAATGAAAAAAATCATGCCTCTTTCCATTTATTACAATAGAATACCAATTATTACTCATAATCCTCCAAACTCTATCAATAAACACTTCAATGAACCCCATTTTCCTTAAAACCAAACAAGTATAAGTCCATGATACTCTATCATATGCTTTAACCATGTCTAACTTGATAACCACATTACTTCCTTCTTTTGGTTTTTTAATACCATGAATAATTTCCTGAGCCAACGATATATTCTCAGCTATACTCCTCCCTTTGACAAAACCTGATTGATTTTCAAAAACAACACCAGGTAATATGGAAGCCAATCTGGTGCTAAGGATTTTTGATATAATTTTATTAGCAAAATTACTAAGCTAATAGGTCTGAAATCCTTAAGTCTGCATGGATGATCAGTTTTGGGAAGTAAAATTAGACAAGCATGTGTCATATATCTGGGCATACCATTACCAATATAAAAATAATTAACAGCAGCCAAGAGATCTTCTTTGATAATATCAAAACATACTTGGTAAAATTTTCCTCCAAAACCATCAGGACCAGGTGCTGAATGAGGATTCATACTCATAATAATCCTTCTCAATTCATCCATATCAGGTAATCTATCTAAACCATCATTTTGTTCCTGAGTAATCATAGGATTAATACACTGCAGTATATCTTCCGTAATTTTCTCATTCTTTCCAGTAAAAATTTCCTCATAATAATCACAAGCCTTTTTAGCAATATCTTCTTCCCCTTCAATCCAGTTTCCACTATCATCCATCAATTTATGAATTGCCATTCTATTTCTTTTACCTCTAATCACAGCATGAAAATATTTAGTGTTAGCATCACCCTCTTGTAACCAATGTAACTGAGTTTTCTGCTGAATAATCTTATATTCCAACTTCAAGTACTTAATATACTTAGCATTAAAAGCATTAAGCTTCTCACCATTTTCAATACTATGATTACTGATCATATCGTTTTTAGCCTTTTTCACCAACTCCTCATACAGTTTAACCTTTTCAAATACATCACCATATTCCTGTTTTGACCACCCTCTCAAAGTTTTAGTTAACCTTCTCAACTTTGTATGAAAATTCCACATAGGATTTCCAATCACATCTCTTTTCCAACAATTTTCCACAGTTTTGTAGAAAGAATCATTCTCAGTCGACAAATTCAGAAATTTAAAATATTTAATAGTATTGGATTGAATATCACATATTTCTATGAATAAAGGACAGTGATCAGACCCTACAGAAGGAAGATGAGTAATACTAGAATGAGGCATTGTTTCAATCCATTTATCATTAGTCATACCCCTATCCAATCTTTTCCAAATCCTTGCACCATCTCTCCTATGATTACACCAAGTGTAATCCTGACCATAATATCCCATATCAACTAATCCACATGCCTCAATAATACTAATAAACTCCAAGCTCTTATTAATATTATAATCTTTACCACCCAGCTTCTCACTAGTAGAGGTGATAACATTGAAATCACCTAAAATACTCCAAGGATACATGGTTTCAGACCTTTTAAGCATAACATCCCAAAGAGGTTTCCTTAACTAATCCTTACACTTAGCATATACATAAGTCATAATGAACTTCTCACAGCAGTTCTCATGTCTAATTTAACAAGTCACCTGTTGTCGATCACTTTCCAAAATATCACAAGTAATTTCATTAGACCAAAAAAGCCAGATTTTATTATTAGAGTTACTATAACTATGATCCATGATCAACTGCATCTACAAGAATCTATATGAGCTTGATTAGAGAAAGGTTCTAAAATAGCCAGCATAGATAGATTATGCAATTTTCTGAGGTTAATCAATCTCTCAATAGCACCAAATGTATTAATGCTCCTCATATTCCAACATAACAACTTAATCATTAAATTCCTCTACTTCTAGCTCTAGTATTAGGCTTGCTAGAACTAATAAGTTTATTTTGTTTTACAAGCTTCCTTCCTCTTGGTGACAGACCTTGTTTGCCAGTTACATCTCTAATTTCATCCACATTAGAGGACTGAAGCAAAGGGCCCTTATGAATTTGGTCAGAGGTGTTAAATTCCTCACCTGGTTCAATACCCTCTCCTAAAGAATGAGTATCCACATCATCCTCATCTTCAGAATCTGGTTCCCTATATTCATCAAAATTCTCATCTCTTTGAAGATCAATAGGGTCATTACCAGTGGTTTTATTGTTATTTTTAGTGTTAATCTGTGGAGGAACATTAACAATATTTTTATCAGGGGGTTCTTTCTCAATATTACTAGGAATCCCTTGTTCAACAGCTTTATTTTTTCCTTTATCATAATTAACATGCTGAGATGTAATTTCCACCTGACTTCTTCCAACCTCACCTCCATCAGCTATACCAGCATTATCACTATCAGGGATTGTAGGGGAGGGGAGTATTGAGTCAATACCTGCTTTGTTAAGGTTTTCATATTGATGATCAGCCTGGGGATCCATAGTGACCTGAATTTCCACCCTTGATTGCTTCCTTTTTTCCTTCTGTACATAAATTTCTTCCTGCTGATAATACTTGTATTGATCCCTTCCATCTCCAACACGTGTATGATCCTGTGTTTCAAGGTCAATATAGGTATTTTTAGTAGGAATAGAAATCATACCTGTTTGAGACTGTTGTTGATGATGAACAGTCTTATCATTGTTGAATCTAACTTGTTGGTTGTTGTTCCTTCTTCTTTGAGTTTTCCATTCATCTTGTAGACCTTGTTGCTGATTTTGAACACCTTGTTGTCTTGATTGATCATGATCCATTTCACTTCTACCAGTATCCATGTATTGAGTATTCTGTAAATCTGCAGTGTCATGTATAGCATTGTCTTTCCTAGGCCTATTTTTTCTATCTCTTTTCTTTTTTTATTTTCCTCATCCCTTTGCTTAACTATACAATCAGATTCCTTATGGCCTTAATGTTTACAGTAAAACAGTAATTAGGAATGCTATCATATTCAATCTTTTGCCACCTCCCATCAGTAATGTCTTCTCCTATTTATCCATCCAAATGTGTGGAGGTCTTTCCTTGGTTAGATCTACCTGAACCTTAACTCTAGCTTGGCTCTCTCTAGTTTTGTTAATTGATGCAGAATAAAGATATAACACCCTACCTATAGGTAAAAACAGGCTAGTAATGAACTGTTTATTGTAACAATGCCAAGGCAATTCAGGCAATGAAATCCAAATTGGAACTAGAGGTGTTTCTTCCTCAGGTGTAAAATTGGGAGTCCAGGCCTGTATTCTCATTACTTGCCCTGATATTGTCATCCTTTGCTTAGTCCAAACCATGTCGTAGTCTAGTTCATTATCAAGATCTATGTAAACATGTCTAGAGTTAAAATGGGCTATTTTAACACCCCCAGACAACTGAGTTTGTAGGATAAAATTTTTCCTAATTAACTCAATTCTAGGCATGGTATAGATGAACTTTCTTATTAATGTAAACTTACAGGTTGAAGCAAGGTCTTTAACTACTTCCAATTTAACATATAATACAGCAGGTAAGCCTTGCTTAGTAGTAATCTCAGGTTCAGTCAACTTAATGTTCTCCCCACTCTTGGATTGATTATATCTAAGTCTGTCTGCATAGGTTTGTATGACTGTATAGGGTGCAGGTTCAGGTATGTGATCTTTCTTAGGAAAATTGTTAGTTCCTGAAGGAAGATCATTCTTATCAATTCCAGTTCTAGGCAAAGTTCTATCAAAATTGCTAGTTAATTTGGGAAAATTATGTTGATAATCAGGATTTCTAACAGAAACATTGTTAGTTTTATCAGTAACATTCATCATATTATCATTCTTGGAATTAGAATTGGTTGAAACAAAATTACCTTGACCATTAGGGTTTGGGTTAGGATTATGTTAGGGTTTATTATTTTTTTTGGTTTTAGGGTTTGTAGTGTAGGATTTGAGGTTTAAAATCTATGGTCTAGTGTTTCATATTTGGGTTCTCATATTTTGGACGTAGGGTTTTTCTTGGAATTAGGGTTCAGTATTTAGGGTTAAGTGATAGGCTGTAGGCTTTTTTAAAAATTTATGGTTGTGGGTTTAACATTTGAGTTTTGAAATATATGGTTTACTATTTCATTTTTGGGTTTTGGTATTTTGGGCTTATGATTTTGGGTTTATTGTTTATGGTTAGGGTTAGGGTTAAGGTTAGTGTTAGGATTAGGGTTAAGGTTAGTGTTAGGGTTAGGGTTTGGGTGTTTGGTGTTTATATGTTGTTGAGTTTAGAGTTTAGGGTTTAGGATTTGAGGCTTAATATCAACGGTTTAGTGTTCAATATTTGTACTTTGGTATTTTGGGCTTGGGTTTAGGTGTGATGGTAGGGTTAGGGTTAGGGTTTAGGTTGTTTTTTAGGTAATAGATTTTAAGGTTAATAATTTTTGTTGTAATATCAATGGTTTAGTGTTTAATGTTAGGGTTCTGGTATTTTGAGCTTTGGATTTAGGGTTTAGGGTCTAGGGTTCAGTGTTGTGGTTAAGGATAGGGTTAGGGTTAGTAATAGGGATAGGGTTATGGTTAGGGTTTTAGCGTTTTTCTTGATTTTTAATTTTGGTCTTAGGATTTTAGCTTTAAAATCTATGGTTTAGTATTTAATATTTGAGTTTTTATATTTTGGGCTTGGGTGTATGGTTAATGGTTCAGGGTTAGGGCTAGGCTTAGGGTTAGGGCTTGGTTTTGGGTTAGGGTTAGAGTTTATGTTTTTTTAGGTTTTAGGGTTTGTGGTTGAGGATTTGAGGTTTAAAATCTATGGTCTAGTGTTTAATGTCTGGACTTAAGGTTTAGGGTTTAAGGTTTTGGATTAGGGTCTGGGTTAGGGTAAGGATTAGGGTTAGGATGTATTTTTTTTAGGTTTTATTGTTCATGATTTAGCATTTGATGTTTAAAATCTATAATTTTTTCTTTAATGTTTGGGTTTTGTTATTTGGGGCTTAGGGTTTAGGGTTAGGGTTTGGGTTAAGATTAGGGTTAGGGTTAGGTTTTTGGGTTTTGGGATTTCTTTTAGGTTTTATGGTAGGCTTAGGGTTAGGGTTAATATTAGGGTTATTGTTAGGGTTTAGGTTTTTTTTTAGGTTTTAGTTTTGGGGGTTATGGATTTGAATTGTAATATCTATGGTTTATTGTTTAATTTTAGGGTTTTGGTATTTTGGGCTTAGGGTTGAGGGTTTAGGGTTAGGATTAGTGATAGGCTTAAGGTTAGAATTTATATTAGAGATATGGTATCAGTTAAGGTTTAGAGTTCTCTTTAGGTTTTAGGTTTTTGGGTTTAGGATTTTTGGTTTAAAATCCATGATTTAGTGATTAATGTTTTGGTTTTTATATTTTAGGGATGATGTTTTGGGTTAATGGTTTAGGGTTAGGGTTATGGTTAGGGTTTAGCTTTTTTAGGTTTTATGGTTTGTGGTTTTGGATTTGATGTTTAAAATTTATGGTTTACTATTTAATGTTTGTGTTTTGGTATTTTGGGCTTATGGTTTTGGGCTTATGGTTTTGGGCTTAGGGTGTAGGTTAGGGTTAGGGTTAGGGTTTAGGTTTTTCATAGTTTTTAAGGTTTGGGTTCTCGTATTTTAGACTTAGGGTTATTTTTTGACTTAAGGTTTAGTGTTTCGATTAAGGGTTAGGGTGTAGGGTTTTTTAAGGTTTTATGGTTGGGAGTTTTACCATTTGAGATTTCAAATCTATGGATTAGTATTTAAGGTTTTGATTTTGGTATTTTGGGCTTAGGGTATTAGGTTAATGGTTTAGGGTAAGGGTATAGAATTTTTTTTGGTTTTATGGTTTAGGGTTTAGAATTTGATGTTTACTATATATGGTTTAGTATTTAATGTATGGGTTGTTGTGTTTTGAGCGTTTTTCTTTTTTCTTTTTTGGTTTAATTACCCTTGGAGGGGTAGGGGTTGAACAATGCCCCAGGCCTTATCATTAATAACAAAAAACAAAATACAAGTAGGGGGACATAAACCTAATCTTACACAAAAGAAGAAACCAAAATACTAAGCACCTAAGGAGTGGACTCCTTACAATACAAAGTATCTAGGAAGCATAAACTAGGGAGACTCTTCCTTTACAAGAAAGCTTATAAACTAAACTAACCTATTCAAAGTAGCTATAATTTTAATTAAAGCCATGTTGAAAATATATACACCTCAAGGAGGCTCAAAAATTCTCTTTGTCTTCCTTTTTTTAAAGTTAGGCATCTCCAATAAGTCGAGTTGATAGTAGTTCTTTGCTTCTTTCGGTAGTTGATGGCTATTGAAATATACTTGAGGAGTGGCAATGTTGTGACAATGTTTTCACAATGCATCCGCTACGCAATTCGCTTCTCTGAATACATGAATGCATTTGAAGTTGTGTACTTGATTGATAAGATGTTGCAGCCTTCCAAGTTGTGTGATGATGCTCCATTGAGGGACTGCCTTCTTTAGGACCCATTGCACTACTAGTTGAGAATCAAGTTCCAAAATTATGTTTCTGTATCCAAGCTCAA